GTGAGCACCATGTGGACCCTTGGTGCGCTAACCAGAAAGTTGGACTCACAGCCACAAGAAAGTGGGCCAGAATTTGGGGAGCTCAGCCTAGGGAATCGAAGAGATTCCCACCCCCAAAAGAGATTCTTCACACATCCTTACTCAGATCTAAATCCAAATCTACATTCTGGCCTCCCCTGGAATAAGGTATATGAAGTACCTTGATCACCTGAGAGTAAATATTATGAGATGCAAAGAAAAGCAGGTGGTGCTGGGAGATGATTGCTCTGCACCTTGCCAGTTATGTTTCGATGTTCCCCAGGGCTCATGCCCCATATAATCGGCATCTAGATGAAACTGCTGGGGGAGGTTATTTGGGGTTGTGGGGCGTGGTGTTGTCAGTATGCAGGTTGTATCCTGCTCTCTCGCACATTCATAGAATCACAGAGTAGTAGACTTGGAAGGGGCCAGAGGGCCACTGGGTCCAGTCCCCTGCACAGCTGGACAGCTGCATCTTGAGGTTGCCAGTTTCCTTTTCATTGCTGCTTGAATCCTTGCTTACAAGCTCACATGGCCCAAATATGAGATCAGATCAGCTTGCCCTCAGGACCCTTCTAAAACAAGGGTGTGGGACCCCTTTCTGCCAAGGGCCAAATTATTTATTATTTAAAACTTTTATATGCCATCACCACATGCCTCGACATCTCTGGATGGCACACAACATGTACAATTAAAAACAATAAAGCAGTAACAAATTCCATAAAATATTATATAAAAACAAAAACAAAAAATGACTGTTAATGATAAAATATTAGTTTTTAAAATAGCAATTAAATAAAAAGTTTTTAATCTGGCACTGAAAAGAATATAAACTCAGCACCAGGCGTACCTCTCCAGGGAGTGCATCCCATAATCTGGGTGCCACCAAAGAGAAGGCCCTGCTCCGGGTAGTTGTTCTTTTTATCTCCTTTAAAGAGGGCTCCCGGAGCAGTGCCTCTCCCGCAGAACTTAAGAGGCATGAAGGCATGTAAGGAAAGAGGCGCTCATTCAGGTATCCTGGTCCCAAGCCATTCAGGGCTTTATAGGTTAAAACCAGCACCTTGAATTGGGCCCAGACTTCAACTGGAAGCCAGTGCAGCTGGTAGAGGACCGGCATTATATGAGAATAACAACCGGTCCCCATCAGCAACCTGGCAGCTCTATTCTGTACCAGCTGAAGTATCCAGACCATTGTCAAGGGCAGCCCCACATTAGAGTGCATTACAGTAATCCAGCTGGGAGGTTACCAGAGTATGAATCACCATTGCTAGGCAGTGCTTGTCCAGGTAAGGGCACAGCTGGTGGATCAGCCGAAGCTGTAGGAAAGCACTCCTTGCCACTGCCGCCACCTGGAATTCCAGTGACAGCTCTGGGTCAAGGAGCACTCCCAAGCTGTGGACCCTGTCCTTTAGAGGGAGTGCTACCCTGTCCAGGACACAGTCAAAGTCACTTACCTGAAACCACGATCTGCCCACCAAAAGGACCTCCTTCTTATCTGGATTGAGGCTCAGTTTATTGGCCCTCATCCAGCCCATTACCTCGGTCAGGCACTGGTTCAGCACAGCCACCGCCTCACCTGGAGTAGATGTAAATGAGAGGAAGAGCTGGGTGTCATCAGCATACTGGTGACACCGCAGCCCAAATCTCCTAATGACCTCTCCCAGTGGTTTCATGTAGATGTTAAAAAACATGGGGGACATAATAGAGCAAAACTGCCATGGCGCAGAGCTATAGTCCCCCAGCACCACCTTCTGGAGTCGGCCAGCCAGGTAGGAGCAGAACCAGCCAGCCTATCCAGAAGGACACCATGGTCGACGGTATTGAAAGCTGCTGAGAGGTCCAGGAGGACCAACAGGGACAAAATTCCATTTTGTGAGAGTTCTCAGGAGCTGCCGCATTCCAGTGGTGGAGGCAAAGGGGGCAGGGGGAGAATTACATGCAGGGGTAGCTTAAAGGCACAATCCTGGGCATGTTTAGGCAGAAGAAAGGCTTACAATGCCCAGCACAGTCTAGTCAGCAAGCGTCGACTTGTCTAAGCATGCACAGGGTTGTGTCTTAACACTTGCTGCCAGGAACTGAGTCTTAGAAGGAGCATTTCAACCTTTCATTGGTGGGACTGGAGGGGAACATGCAGGAGAAGAAGCCACCAAGGAGGTGCTCAGACGAAATATGCCCTGAGCTTCCCTTGAGGTCCTTCTTCGGGAGCCCTCCTTGAAAGGGATAAGGAGGGTGGTTACCCGGGGGAGGGCCTTCTCTGTGGTGGCACCCCAATTGTGGAATATGCTCCCCAGAGAGGTTCACCTGACGCCAACACTTTTTTCATTTCAGCCCAGGCAAAAACCTTCTTATTCTCCCATTATTTTAATGTTTAATTGGTTTTAGTTGTGATTTTATTGTGAATTGCTGGATGCTGTGCCGTTTTTATCTATATCTGTTGTAAACCATCCCAAGATGTTAGTAATGGATCAGTCTATAAAACCTTTTTAATAAATAAATGAATGAATGAATAGAATAGAATAGAATAGAATAGAATAGAATAATAGGTGTTCAAAGGAAGGGGCCAAGGGAAGGATGAATGGAAATATAGGGAGCCCTGGAGGGCCTGATTGGGACCCCAAGCAATCCAGTTTTGGCCAGAGGCCTGCAGTTCTAAAAGAAGATGAAAGAATGTACATGAATTGTAACTAGGGTTCCCACAATCCCATGGGGCAACCATTCCTGTAACAAGATCAGCCATATCCTGCCATACCAAAGAAGACATGGGCAGGAGAAGCTGGGGGCTCCTTATCCATTGCTGCTTTCATTTTGAGCTTTATAGGAACTATCCAAGGTGTTGAACCCCATCCCTCAGATAGGTGCATCACCATGAAACCCTCCTATGTAAATCAGAATAAAAGCTGCAATGGATACAGAACCGCACTGCCACAGGAGCCTCTCCTGGCCATGAAGGTTCCTTCCATCTGGGATACAACACTCTCAGAAATGCATCTGCTTTCATCATTTGCTTGCAGCCACGGCAATCTCAAGCCCTCCTTCACACACTGGTTTGCTGAAAAGCAAAGGATGTGAAGGATATGAAACGAGGCAGATAATAAACCCTTATTTGAATGTGAATGGCCAACCCGAAACAGCATGGAAGACTTTGATACTTATATTTAGATACCTTATTTGAGAGCTCACTTTGGAATGGAAATGGCTGTTCCATTCATCCTGATGTCAGTTAGCATGCCCACCTGAATGGCTGATGTGCTGCCTGGAAGCTCACATTGGCAGGTGAATACCTGATGATGCTCCCTCGGGCTGTCAGAAGCGCTTTGAGATCAGAGCCAGAGCGCAGCTGGGAAGGCGTCTCCTGCTTCCTCGCCGCAGCGCCACGCTTGACCCCTGCGTGGCACAACGGTGCCAAGAAGCGTCACTGAAGCAGGGGCTGGAAAATGAGTGGGGCCAGGGCACTATTGAATTACCTAGGCAAGTAACTCCCCTGTGTGCAAAGGGCCATAGCAACAGTGTGGTTTGTTTTATCTGGACGCTTCTATTGTGACGCCCACAAAATTATTTTCATTCCAGCTTAGAAGTGTCACCTGACATCATCATCATCATCACATTGCATTATATCCTTCCTTTTTCCTCACCCAAGGCAGCTCCCAAAGCTCTCCTCTTCATTTTATCCTCATGACAATGACCCTGTGAGGTAGGTTAGGTTAAGAGCAGCAGCTGGCCCAAAGGTTTCATGGCCAAGTGAGGACTAAAACGTAGATGTACTGAACCCTGGTCCAGTACCCTTAACCACTGCACCACACTCTCAATAGCTCGATCTTCTCTTTAGAGGAGGCCTGTGACCTTGCAACTTTTGGCCTAGAGCTCCCATCATCCCCTTACCAGGAATCATGCTGGCTGGGACTAGGAGTTGTTGAAGTCCAACCACATCTGGAGTACCACAATTTCCCTGCTGACTTTGAAGCCAGGCCCATGTTGGAAGCTTTATAAAACTGGAAGAATCACTTTGAGCCTTTTGTCTCACCCAGCGGTCATTGAGTCAACCAGCTGCTATACTTTTTCCAGCCAGCTGTTTTGGGGGCATCTGGACTCCACTCATCTGGGAACTTGTAGAGCATGGCAACAAATTGGGCACGTTTGTGTGGTTGCTAGAAACCTCACAAGGAGAGCCCTCTGTGTCGCATATGCCCTATTTCCTCTGGGTTGCTGATTACCCCATGGAAAGCCCCCACAGATAGAGGAGGTTGCCCTCTTCAGCCAGCCGCCCTCCATGTGTATGGGGCACTGATAGATGGGGAGAAGACTGGAGTTTTCCCCCTCCTCGCAACCTTAATCAACATGCTTCCGAATGCCTGAATAGCACTACAAACACACCTGATTCCGGATGATTGAGGAATTCAGACTTTGAGAATTCTGATGTGAACTGATCTGATCCCAGACTAATGCAAGCGAGAATATAAATATCTTTCCAAATTCTCACTTTCCCAAATTTTGTGATGCAGTTTTTGGCTTTAAAAAATTACAAAAGTGTGTTTTAAAATATGTGTCTTGAGATACACTGCATTTTAACGTGCATATTTTGTGTGTTAAATACATTTTGGAAAGCTGCAATTAGAGAGAAAAGATGTTCAAAAATGATGTATTTAGATATGTATTTAAATGCAAATTTTTGAGTGACTTGTTCAAAGAATTGCAGATTAATGTGGAAGCAGGAGGGAACAGACCTATAAATGAACATATTTGAAAGTGGCTTGGACTGGAATAAACTGATCCATCCCACATCAGACAATGCCCAGAATCCAGAATATGGCAAGAGAGGATCAAAGTAAGATAATGAAACTTAAAATTTCTCAGGCTAACGGCTTTGAGTGATAGTTGTTCCCTCATATGTATTTCAGGCAACTGTCAAGAAATTTTGTTCTGGCATTTCTTCTTTTCCCTTGAACCAAAGCTAATTATACATATTTATTTCCCTCTCCTTTTAGGTTGATATCAAACACTGCCATCAGGTTTTTACCTGCTGTTAACCAGGTACACTCTTTGCAGAAGGTTGTGCTGTAAGTTTTTACTGAATTCTTCTGACATTTTTGGTGTTTGAATGCATTCCATGGGAGCAAAAGAGGGAAAGAGAGAGTGAAGACATGATTTAAACTAGAGCTGAAACAAAAGCCTGGGAGGGGTAGAATCTCACTGAAATTCTGATACTTCATATGTGTATTTTTTTAAAAAACTGATAAATGTATTATATGTGCATGAATGGGATGATTACAAAAATTTGAAAGAGCAATTATGGCTTCAGAACCAAAAGGAAATGAAATAAAATAATCTAGTATATTTTAAAATCATTTCTGAAGATATAAAATATTCTTGATTTAAACTTAGTAAAATGATTTTGTGCACGGAGAAAACATAGTCTGACGATCTGGGGCAGGGTGGCTTTTCAGAACAAACCTGGCTCAGGGAGGAGACCCTTGGGCGAATGTATTCTGGTGCAAGGGGGCCTTTTTCACCCTTCCAGGAACCTTTTCTGACCTGGGCGCCAGGCCTGGCAAGGCTCTTCCTGCAGCAGCTGCAAAGTGGGAATTGTGCTAACGCTGAGGTTTCCGTGATTATGGCAAGAGGCCCCAGGGTTACAGCCTTGGCTAATCTTGTATCATTGATTGCTACAGGTTGCTTATCCTTTTTATGTTATTGTATTGATATTGCACGAAGTTCTATGCACAAGAGAGGGAGAGAGGGAGACAGATTCTTGTCTGCTGCCTTGCATGCCAACAGCACATTGTATGGGGATTTTTTTAATTTTTTCTTTTCTTAAATCTCAGAGATATCCAAGACAACATTAATATCCACAAAATTGAAATAAATTCTTTCCTGGGCTTAAGCTCTGATCGTGTTGATATGTAAGTAATATCTGGTCGATATATTTGGGGTGGTGGGGAGAGGGAGAAAGAGAGAGAGTTTGTGCATGTGCTTGGTCATCTAGCTTTAACTTTAAGCAGAGGTTATAAAATTCGGCTTCACAAACTGGTATGCTGAAGTATTGTTCCTCCAGTGCTCCAAACATGGAGGAGAAGGTTCGAGTGTCCCATCCCCTCCCAGCCATTGATGGGAACTCCATGGCAGCTCCACCTCTCGCAGTCAGGTGGCCCCAGGCAGTGCAGAAGAGGGTGTGTTGGGCCCGACAGTGCTTAAGGAGGGAGATCCCATGGATTTCCTGGATCCAAAAGTTTCTCAGCCTTTAATCCTGTCCCCAGAAGAACGAGCAAGGTAGAAGTCCTGCCTGATGAAAAGCATTCTGAAAGAGGATGAGGAAGCTAAAAATACTCCTTCACGACTCCCTCTTTGCTAGGATGGGCAGAGAGCCTCCAAACCTCGGATCCCCCCATCCTCTGACTCATAGGACCGTGTTCTAACAAAAGCCATTGCTCCTTTTCCCAAGCCTTTCCAGCTTTAGCTTTGCACATGGCTGAGATATCGCTCCATTTTTAGCATCCTCCTTCTTCCCTAAGCCTATACTGTTTATCCTGCTCTTACAAAACAAAAATGTTGTTGCCTTGGTGGGAGCTGCCTCCACCACGACTTTCCAACCGATTAGGTTTTGCAGACAGGAAAACAGGCCTGAGTGCCAAGCACACGGGATTGCCTCTCACTTTTCCCATTCAGCAAATTTCTCTTTTCTCTCTCTCTTGAAAGCATCGCGACATGGAGCAAATTTAAAAAATAATGATAGCCAGGATAGGCTCCCTTTACTTTTGGCAAGATCGTCCCATGTTGTTCAAGTGGAAGATCTGAAGGACAGCGGGACAGCTTCGTGTTTCCAGTTGGCTGCAGGCATTCCATTACTCCGGCAAACAATGGACAGAGCGGCAAATAATCTGATACACTTGCACATCATATTAATATATCGTTACAGGCTACTTCACAGTGTAGGATCATGCTGTGTGCTTAGAAGCTTTCATGTGGCGTGGGAAGAATCATGTTTCTTAATGAACCTTGATTCTTCTCTCTTTCTTTCTGGTTGTGTGGATGGACATGGCTGGTTTGTGCTAAAAGAAATACCTGCTCCCCTTTCCTGCTTTCAGGATAGTGGCATCATTGCTTTGTGTCATTGTAGAAGCTTCCACAAGCCTCATTCACAGGTGGCAGTTCTGTCCAGAGATGTGTTGAATACAGAGTTCTCTGAATTAAACAGCACAGTTTAGATCCTCTGGCAAGCTTCTCTCTCCTGCCGAAGTGTATCACAGAATCAGAGAGGTGGAAGGTAACCCAGAGGTCATCTAGTCCATCCCACTATTCTGTGCAAGCTCTGCACTGCTGGGTGTAGCCACAACATGGGTGGCCATCCAGCAAAGGAGCACCTGGCACCTCCTAACAACAACACAGCCTGAGTGGTGCATCTTCATGGCTGGGGGGATGAGGTGATGCAGGGAGATGATATTTTAGAGGTGTACAAATCTGTGAACAGGATGGAGAAAATGAAATGAGACTAGTGAGAGGGTGGCTTTGGGTGAAAGGACTTCCTGGATCTCCAAGTACGTACCGCATCGAGGGAACACATGGTTTACAACCTGTGGCCACTTCCACAACCTGGCACCCTTCAGGGGTTTTGAACTGCAGTTCCCATATCATCCCTGCCCACTGACCATGCTGGCTGGGGCTAATAGGAGTTGGAGTCTAGAAGATCTGGAGGGCACCACATTGAGCAAGGCTAGGCTGCTGGCTGCAGGTTTTACCAGAAACCTGGACAATAGAGCTAGTAGGGGGCCACTAACAAGAATGCCCTGCACCTCGTTCACCTGCCTCTCACTCTGGCCCAGGTAGTGGTGGTGGTGAGGCAGAGAAGCGGCAGAGGCTGTTGCCTGCTTGTTCCGAGACTCTCTGCTGTTAAGTAGCAATGATGAGAAACGGGACTCTTGGCACTGCCCTGTTCCTGATTCAGAAATGATCAGGTGTCTCCCTCCACCCCAAAATTAAAATGAAACCACAGATTAGCTGACTAAAATGCACAGGATCCTTCCTACGAATCACTCAGCAAAGCAGTTTTCAGGGAAGGGATGGTCACACTCGCCCCGGGACTCCAGGCATCAGTTCAGCCAATGTGGGCTCTTTGCCATCTCCATGAAGGCAGTGGGGGCCACAGGCAAAGGTCTTCCTTTGGCAACTGGGCAGCTGTCGGAGAGCTGACTGGTCTACTGCCTGGGCAGTTCCTCTTTAATGCAAGCAGAGCCACTAGCATGGGGTGGTGACCCAGTTGTCTCTGCATGACTGGGCAGATCCTTTGTCCAGAGGCAATTCGACTGAAGCACGGCTGAGGAGTTCTTCACAGGAGCCCAATACACAACCCGTGGGGACTCCACTTGTCAGTTCCCAGTGCACAACACTGCGGGACCCTGGGAGTCTTAGACAAGAACCGCTTGGGCTTGGAGCAGCCTCCAGTCCTGTCAGAAAGCTGGGGCTTGCGGTGGAATGACTGCCCTGTCGGCATCTTTCCTCCCTGGCTGGAATCAAGACCTGTGGGATTCCGCACCATGACTGTGTCTCCCTGCTGCATCCCTCCGTTGCGTTCCCTCGGGCTTAAGCCAGGGGCCTCGCTGTGAGGCCATTTCTCCCCGGTTTGTCCCCTCCGAAGGCGTCACGGACGGCTTCCCAGCAAGCCATGATCGGCTCTGACATCCATCGGAGTGGTGACACGGCAGGGCACGTGCCTTTCACAGTCAAAAGGGTAATCTCTCCAACCATGACCGTAATTGATTTCCATGTCAACCTCAGCACGCCCCTCTCGGACCTTAGATAAGCGTATCGCTTGAATGGGCAGCTTTCGCTCTGGATTAGTGGCTGAGCATGGAGGCTTTCTGACAGTTTCATTAAATGATTCATTGTCGACCCATCACTCAGACCTGCCACTCCGGGTTAAGAGTGGATGAGCCTTACCCTGTCACAAAGGGAGCAGAGAAGACGCCAAATGATGCAGCAGGAGGGATAAATACCACTGGTGGATTGTCCGAGACTAAGCAAGGAGGGACAAGCAAGAAGGCACATTAACTGACACTGTGCCTGGGCAGGGGGGGAATCTGAGCACCCCTGGAATTATTCCATCATTTTGTGGAGCACTTTGAGTCTAAAGAAACTGTTATGTCTTAGCACATTAATTGCTTCCCTGCCTCACCTTGAGCCAGACTGTGAAGGAGGGGTTTGCTTGCTTGCTTGCTTATTTATTTATTTAAAGCTTTTATATCCTGCCCTTTACAGTGTCTCAGGTCGGTAATACAATAAAATGGTCGTCATTTGCATTTTTATTCTGTGGAAGCTGGGACTGCTACATGGTATTTTTGAACTGTTGTTGTTGTTTACAACTAGGATAACAAACAAAAAAACAAAAATGTGGAGAACCGTGAAAGAGTGTGGGGTCAGAAGGGGGAATAAGAAAGAACCTTTCATTAAATGTATCCATGCAAAACAATAATGGACGGTGCCTATGTGAAAAAAGGATTTAATTTAACTTTGATTTCAAAGGTATATATTAATATAAATCACCTACATACCTAAATAAATATCCATATGAAGCTGAGATGTGTCCACATGTAGAAAGAATGGTTAGATCTTCAGTCCAGTGAATGATGGGAGATGGACTACCCTGAGAGGCACTCACTGAGAAAGAAGCTTACTAATAATTGTTTTAACAATTGTTTTAATTGTTTGTTGTTATATGTCATCAAGACATCAACTTATGCCAACCCCGTGAATGAAAGCCCTCCAAAAAGTCCTGTCCAGGGTAGCGCCATTCAGCTCTCCCAAGTTCAAGGCCGTGGCTTCCTTTACAGATTCAGTCCAACTCATCTTTGGTCTTCCTTTTTGTCTTCTGCCTTCAGCTTACTATCTAAAATTTGATACATGGAAAGGGGAAATAAAACTGTGTTTAAATCAGTTGTATCTACTCAGGTTTAATTACAGGACAGTGGGACTGATGATGACCTGGGAGACGGCCTTTTCTGTGGGAGCCCCACACCTCTGAAATAAATTTCCATTAGTGGTTCATCAGGTCCTTTATTTGCAGGTGCCAAGAAACAGTGAACACAAATGTGCTGGGGGTGTACAATCAAAAGAATATTACGGTTTATTCAGAAATACATTCAACATGTAGGTAGCCCCAAAAGGGACCCCCAAGAAGGATTCTGTTCAGGAAGCTTTTGGAAGATGGTGAGAGATCAGGTGGGCACATGAGAGTGGAAACGAAGGGGCTGAATGGGTCAAGACAAGGGACAACAACAGGAAGATGTTTCAGAACAGGCCGATGTTAGCATCTCTAAGGGGTACATAGGAAGCAAGACTTGCAACATGGATTCCGGATCAGATTGGGAATCCCACCTTAAGTCTCAAAGTGTTCTTATAATGTCTAGCGTTCTGCAACTACCTCATGGTAGAGTTTTCATTCGTTTAGTCCTGACACAGGGTTTTAGGGGAAATGGTCTTTCGAAAGCAAATGATTTGCTGGTTTTATTAACAGCCACTGTTTCCATTGGACCTTTACAGTTTGCCTTGTCGGCCTTCTCTCGTGAACCACACTAGGAGGTGGCCAAAAGATAATTATACATAAATAATCACAGTGAGCATGCGAACTAGGTGGAATGTCAAGCAAACCAGAAACACACGAAGCTGGGAGTAAGCAGGGAAAAAATAGACTTCACTTTTCTTTAAATCGGAGGCTGATCAGATTTCCCTTGGGAAATTCAAATGCAAGACATACTTCTGAAAAACCTAAGTAATAATTTTCACTGATAGATTTCAAGACAATCAAAGCATCTCTCAAGCTGATAAATGCAATATTGTCACTGTTTAAAAAAAACTCTTCAAAAAACCCAACAATTTCAGTAACTAGAAATGCTCAAAATTCTAACTGGAGGATTAGAATCCTTGCAAATAAAGCGGGCACAAATGGGAGTCTCTCTCTATTTGAACGAGATGTCCATTGGAGAGAGTCCTTCTTGCTCACACACAGCACTAAGAAGCGACTGTTGTGGGGCAAGCATCTCTGGATAACTTTCTTACCTTTCCCTTCCTTTTCTTTCTGGCCACTATGATTGCTTCAGCGTGAACTGAGTGCCTCTAGTCGTTGCCATTGGCAGCCTCCATGAAGGCCTCTGGGCCACATGTCTCGGGGCTCAGAGACAAATTTAGGCAACGAAGATGACGGGCAGTGCCTGTCAATGTTTCCTTCTGCTGCACGCCCAGCTACAGGAGGGAAAAATAGGAGACGAGAAAAGGGGAGCCCAGTCTTTTGAGCGCCGCTTGTTCTTTGTGCCGAGACACATCTGCCTTGGCAGCCATTTTGTCCTATTGCCCAAGACGATTTTTCAAATTGTTGAATGTGTCCCCAGGCCCAGAATGTTTGCCTCCCACTGAGCTAATTTCAGGTGGGTGTGTCTTTCTACAAAGCAAAGGAGTTTGTGGTTACATCCCTGTATGGATCTGATTTGATGTGGCAAATTTGCTGCCTCGTCTGAGATTGCCTACAATTTGTCTCCACCTATGTGTGCTCATATAATTTTAAATGAGGAAAATACTTTAGCTTGCTACTTTAAAGGTAAAAATCCCAATGAGATTGAAGGAATCTCATTTTTAAAAACTGGATTTCTAAAAGTAAGGTCATCTTCCCATGCAGTGCTTGGGATGTTGGGTTTTGCTTAAGGACACCCAAGTTCAACCCACTCCCTCAAGTAGTCATGAGACTCATTTGAACCGTTGACTCACTTGAACCATTCCCTGGCAGGGGTTCCCAACCATCTTGTGTTGGTGGGTACATTTGGAGTTTTGAGAGCACTCTCACAAAATGGCTGTCAGGAAAGGGCCACCCACTGAGGCAGTAGGTATAGCCAATCACAAAACACCCATTTCCCAGAAGGCAAAATGAAAATGAGGCTAAATGAAAATGAACTTGCACAGGAACCTAAGCACAAGGGACAGCTGACTTGCCATGACAAAACACACAACCATTCTTATGGGTACACTTTTGTGCTCCAGCACTTATTTTACGGAAGGCACCCTTCAAACCAAACCACTGGGCTAGCCTTCCACCGTATTTATTGTAGGGAATTCTTCCAATGGCGCTTTAATTTTGGAAATTAAGATGAACTAGCTCTGGGGGTTAGCATGTCCTTTTGCAGCATGCTGTCTCCAGTTTATTTATTTTATTTTTTAACATTTAAAGGAATCAGGAGGATAGGGAGCTTGTAAGACACCACATTGAAGAATCAGCACTGATTCATTTCAATGGGTCTACTCTAAGTAGGGCTAACTGGATACAACCTTAATTCTACAATGCCTTTGAAAAAAAGGTAGCATATAAGTGAAATTCATTTTTCCTTCCATATAACTTTGTTACATGTTAATCATACTCTCTTTTTATTGCAGAAAAGTGTACAAGGCAAATTCTTTGTACAGTTTATAGAAAAATACAGCTCAATTAAGTTGAATTATTGTAGCAGGGACTGAATTCCCTGGCTTTCTAGGAGTGGGTTCCAGAAGTAGAATTTATATATCTGTATATGTGTTTCTCAAAGCCTCTTTTCAAAGTTGTGTTAAATATGTTTTTAAGAGAATTCTAACAGTCATTGTCTCTATATTGCAGAAGGCTGAATAAAAATGGAATTCGGGAGATTGAAAACCATGCCTTCAATGGGACCATCTTGTCAGAGCTGTGAGTATCCCTGCTTCATCTCACAGACTGGAGGACATTTTGTGAGAAATATTTACTGCAACAAAGACATCCATTCAGTTTTTCTCGCCAGCATTGCTCTTGCTCTGGCTCCATGCCTCTTCTGTCAGCTGATCTCAGCTGAAAAGACTTGCTTTTAAATTGGGACCACTGTCCCAAAAGTTTAGGGCTTTTTTCCTGTCTAAATGCGCAGAGAACTGTACCCTGAAACCATGAACATAGTTCCAAACATGATCCATCTGCATGTGGATAACTGAGAATGCAGGTTGACGTATCCAATAATGCCAGCAGATGCTCCCTGAAACAGACTGATAACTTTATACAGAATCAGTATAGCTGTCATCTATGGATGAGTACTTTTTATTATTATTCTTGCAACTTCTGGGACAGAGAGATTTTTATTCAAAGCTATGCTTTTACACTTATCTGAGAGGAAGATGGGGAGAAATAAGAGACAGGAGCACACGGCATTCTGGAAGTTTCCTGCCATATTGCATTGTTTCTTGCAAATCTTTGGAACAGATGCTCTATATAGGCTTTCCAAAGGTGTAGCCAAGTTAGTCCGGTTGCAGCAAACCCAACAAAAATTGTGCCATGCCTAAAGATGAGCACAGATATTTATAGCAAGAGTGGAAAAAGTGAGGCATTCCATTCCCGCCCCATGCACGCATGCACGCATGCACGCGCACGCACACACACACACACACTCACACAAGCCCTGTCTGGTGGCCCCGTAGACCTCCAGAAGAGAAACAGAGGGAAAATGTAAAAAGCTGTAGGAATGGGCTTTCTGGTTCCTGCAAAGAGGTCTCATTTCATAGGGCATCCCAGAGCATCCCTGGGAGGCCCCTTCTGACTCGCTCTGTTTCTATGTTTCTGTTTCATCTTAGGGAGTGTGCATGAGGTTGCTGTTGGCTTCCAAGGATGCTTGCAGAACAAAGCTTTGACAGCAGGAACCTAGCACATGTTCCTAGAGTGTGATCCTCTTTCTGTTCTGCAAAATTCTAGGTTACATGGTGGTGTGATGCCAGGATCCTTCATCACAAGAGTCGATTAGAGAAGAGATTGCTAGATAGCTGGCTGGATTGAGAACCAAGGTTTCCAGGAGGAGTTTTGGTTTTATCTGATTAAAGCAGGACACAGGCCCCTGAAAATTCTTGGGAAGCAGTTGCAGTTGAATGAGTGGCTGAGGCTGCACGATCACCAGGAAAGCCTTCTTCTCCATGCCTCTGTTTGTGCCAGTCCCATGCAACATAATTGGCCTACTTACCTTCACAGCATAAAGGTTGCCATGTTGAGCAAACCCTACAACAAAGCACAGGTCAGAGAAATGCTATGGGGGTAATTAGTCAAATCAGACAGCACACAGTTGGTATGTGCGGGGTGAGGTAAAGAAGAATTTAATATTGAACTGGAAAGGGTTCAAAGGAGGGCAGCAAGAGTGATCTGAGGACTGGAAACAAGGCCCTGTGAGGAGAGATTGAGGAACTAGGCATGTTTAGCCTGGAGAACACTGCAGGGAGATATGATTTAACTCTACAAGTACCTGAAGGGTTGTCACAAAGAGGAAGTCCAGGATCTCTTCTCTGTCACCCCAGAGTGTAGGATCCAGGATAATGGGCTCAAGTTACAGGAAGCCAGGTTCTGGCTAAATATCAGGAAGAACTTCCTGGCTGTTAGAGCAGTAGGACAATGGACCCAGTGACCCAGGGAGGTTGTGGGCTCTCCCACACTGGAGGCATCCAAGATGCAGCTGGGCAGCCATCTGAGCAGGATGGTTTAACTTGGAGTCTGCGCTGAGCAGGAGGATGGACCTGATGCCCCTCAGCCCCCTTCCAGCTCTGCTGTTCTATGATTCTATCTACAGTGGCTCCTCACATTTGGGGATTTCTCCCCAGGGAGGTATATATGATCTCACATTTATTTCAGTCTGCATTTGGTACTCTAAGATCATTAATCTCTTTGGCTACTGCAGTGCATGCGCACGTGTGTGTGTGTTGTGTGTGTTTGCTTAATTCTTATTTGCATGCTCATTTTTTATTCAATATTGTGAACCACCTTGTGAGGCCACTACATCCTGAAAGGTCAGTTTAAAATCTTTAAAACTGATGAGTAGTATTTTTAATTAGTTGGGTTTTTTTAAGTATGCTTAAATATATTGTGTTTGATCCGACCACACTTAAGCATTTTAAAGTTTTATTCATTTAAAAAATAATAATGTGGATTATAGCCAAAGCACATGCTCAGTATTTTAATTTTCTTTTGAAAGGACTGAGTGACATAATTGCTTTTGTTTTCAGTTTCCTCTAAGGAAGTACACAGGTGTTTGAAATGCATTAGGAGATAAGAGAATATTAAAAAGTTTGTCAATTAGAATTAAGCCATTTTTTTATAAATTAGTATGGGAATGATATATGACACTGGTTAAATTATTTTGTATGGATAATAAATATTCTAATTTATGTTGGACATGTGGATGAAATACAGGTACCTATTTGCATATGTAGTGGAAATTTGGGATAATGATTTTTAAGATTAGTATGGAACGTAAAAATTGAAGTGGATCCTGAAATAGCATTGTTGTTAATATTTTGTGAAAAGAAATGGAAATGGAATATTAAAGAATTAATAATTTTGGGAATCAGCAGCAAAGTTGATAACAGCAAAGAGTTGGAATGAGAAATGGGATCTCCAATTAATTGAATGGTATAAAGAAGTTTGGAATATAGCAGTTAATAACAAGTTGACATGAGAGATAAAGGTGAGAAAAGGTCTGGTAAAGAAGAATGATTTTAACAATATATGGGGTTTGTTTATTGAACATGTATTAATAAAAGTGGAGAGTACTAAACCTCCAATAAATGTATTGCAATTTTGGATGGAAAGGGGTATTTCAGAAAGAGCAGAAAAATGAAAGAAAGAAAAAAAACCTTCTAGGCAGCCATGGTCCCAGTGGAGGGGTGCACGAAGGGTGACTTTTTAATTTTAAAAATATATATTGTGTGTATTTTTCTTTATTATATGACGTTTGTATTTGTATCTTTTAAAAAATAAAAATATAAAAAATGAAATGCATTAGGAATTTGGCAGCGGGGGAGTAATTTTTCCAGAAAGATTGCTTGCCTGCTGTTTCTTTTCACCCTTTTGTCATTTCTCTCCTTTGACCTATGGCCCTACCTTTTGGCTATATCTGTGAAAGTAGAATATTTGATCTACCCTCTGTGGCCCAGTGTCCTCCTCTACAGTCCTCTGTTCAAAGGACTGCCATTAGATACCCCCTAGCTGAAGGCCATCCTCCATTTGAAGGCATGTCCAATGTCATACGAAGATAAAGAGCCATTGGAAGGGGAACAGGTCTTTGGATTTGCCCATCAAAAGTTAAAACCTAGACAGCAAATGGAGCAGCACTTTCCCCCATTGGGTGAGATGTACTATATGCCTATTTAAATTAGGGTCATTCTGTGCACCTCTGCGAATTTTATGCAAACTCTATGCAAATTTGCCCATGTCATCTTTCATCCTCTTTTTTTAATAAGCATCTCCTTCAACAATATCTTTTTCCCCAAAAAGGACTTTGAATAAGGTTTTAATCATTTGATCAAAACAATCCTGCAAAATCACATTCTTTTCAAAGCCCATTTAAAAGCATCGGGGAAATGGGCCAGCATTGTTATTCAGCGAATTAAGATTAATTGATGAATAATATCATTTGTATCAAGATCATCTAATATTTCTTTTATATCACGGATTGATTAAAAGATAGCCATTCCAGCAACCCCATTAAGTAATTGGGGTTCAATACCAACCATGGTAACTTTTTTATTTATTCATTCATTCCTAACAGAAATCTGAGTGGCAACTATCACCTAGAAAAATTACCCAATGAAGTTTTCCAAGGAGCTGATGGACCTGGGTATTTGTAAGTACTGAGCTTCATTTTTTGTTCGTTACTATATTACCATGTCAGAAAAGGTGCTCACATCATGCAAGGCTGTCTCTGAGCGGATGACTGAGAGAAGGGTGGAATTGATTTTTAAAAGCAAGTGTCTCACTGCCTGCATCTCCCAGCTCTAAACTGTATGCATGTATATCTATTTTTGACATCCCACTCCCTCCAAAGAGCCCACAAAAATGTACACTTGATTCCCAACACATGGTTAATTTATACAACTTCAGCTGCAGGCTTCTAAAAAAGTTCAAAATAGGAGTGGACAAATCTGTCAATTTTAGTTTCTTTCCATTTCCCATTTTTCCAGTCTTAAGTGGATTTCATCCCATTCCTGCATTAGTTTGCAATGTTTTTTTTACAAAAACTGTACTTTTTGTTCATGGTTCTCCTAATATATGCATATTGGAAGCAAAGTTCCCCATGTAATGCATTTTTCATACCTTTTCCCATGAGTGTATACATTATCGGGCATACTCTGTTCCCTTAATATATTCATGTTTATGTATATATTTTTTACTGTGCATCGCAAAGTTTAGAAGACTGAATACTAAAGCATTGCTGTGTTTCCATCCATGCCTTGGTTCAGAAAGTAAGAATTTCTGCTCCCCCTCCCCACTTAAGAAACTCTTCTATTCTTCCTTGAACCGAAGAATATAAGAGCCCGGCTGCATCAGACCGAGGATCCTTGGGGTCCAGTACACGTTCAAACAGTGGCTAACCCTCTGCCCATGGGAGGCCCATAGGCCAGTGCGTAGGGAAACAGATGGCCAGCAGGGCTGGTAGCCACTGATAGCCTTGTCTTCTATAGATATGTCCAACCCTGCTTAAAGTCACCCAAAGTAGTGACCATCACTACATCTTGTGGAAACAAGTTAGTTTAATGATGCACCGTGTGAAGAAGTCCTTCCTCTTATCTGTCCCGAATATCTCACCAATCAGCTTTATGGGAAGACTCCTTGTCTACTATGATGCTAGAGCGAGAGAGAGGCCTCTGTATCTACTTTTTCCACATCATGCATAATTTGCACACTCTCTTATCTCTGCTTACTTGCCTTTCCTCTGAGCTAAACAGTGCCAGATGTTGTAACTTTTCCTTCTGGGGGAGCTGCAATGTGGCAACAGGCTTAAGTGCTGATCAGTGTTGAGGCTCAGGCCCATGGAACAGATGCCACCATGGCAGGTCCCAACCTGCCCTCCCCGCTCCCTCATGGTTTCCCAGGTTTCCCATGGTTTTCCACAGCTCCCAGCCATTTCCCCAGCTGCCAGCATTTGATGGTTTACTGACTTTTGCATGGTTTCCTCTCACCCACTAAAATGCTAATAGGGGTGGTATTTTTGCTCCATCTCTTTTGCCTTTGGCCCCACCAAGACTGAAATATGACCTCAGGGAATCTCTGAAATGGAGTTAGGCTGAGAGGCTGAAAGAGCTTCAACGGCCTGCTTAAAAGGAGACAAATTCAGAGGCAGGCCTGCCAAGTAGGAGCAGCTGTCACGGGGCTAAACACATTAAGAACAGGGAAACCACTGCCATGCCGGCCGGGGTGTGTTTGCACCCTCGTTGTTTTGGGAAGAGAACCAACTTGCCCAGTTCTGGCGGTTTAGGGCTTTGTCTTCCACCTCTCTTGCCAGCCTCAGAGCCAATTTTTTCCACCTGTGGGGTTCTGTTAGCCCAGACATGGGGATTCCATCTTCACCCTGTAGCAGTGATAGGCTGCCCGGCATGTCAATGTTCAGAAGCATGCCTGTGCTCAGATCCCAACATACCGGCTGGCCTGCTGCTGGAGAGAGTTGGGCAGCCGCCTCAAGCAGCAGAAGCTTGGAGCGTGGGGGAAGCAGTGGTGAGATCTTGGAGCCAGCTCTGTGTCTTTGGTCTTGCCAGGGTTGAAGTAAAGCTAAACTGCCCTTCCAGAAGGTTCTACATGTGGAATGAGAGAGGGGCAGCCCAAAGCCTTGTAGCAGCCCTGCCAATAAGTGTGCCATTTTGAAAATCAAGCAAGTTCCAACACCTTAGAGCTCGGTCTCTAGAATGACTTGTTGGGCCATTTCTGGGTGGAACCACTGCAAAATTTGATCGCAAATTGAGAAGATATATTATAAAAAGCTCCCTGTACATAGAGAACTGGAATGTCAGACAAGAAGGCTCGGTTAGGAGCTTGAGTTATGTCACCTACACAAACAACTCTTTGAGTTGGTGCGTAAGCCCAAATTTGTGCCAATGCTGGCCCCATATTCTTCTGAATAAGCACAAATTACCCATCACTGCTAATTGTCACTCAAATACAGGCTCAGGAAAGCAATGACTTCAGACAGTCTGTTATGCTGTTTAATAAAATATCATTCACTGTGCCGCAAAAGAAGAAAAAGGAAGAAGAAAAGAATTGATTTAGGCAATTCTGTTTTTACCAAGCAAAGATGTTATTACAGGTCAATCATTCTTGTAAGGCAAAGTACATTTGGGTGTACACTCTGGTGACAGATGACTAGAAGAACTCACTTGCATGATCTCAGCCAGGATAAAAAAGGCAATTTACCGTCCACAGAATGGTGTAATAGAACAGAATAATTCTTATAAAAATAACTCAGTGTTTGAATTTGAACTATCGAATGCATCTGAACTGCAGTGAAATCAATTTGATAACCCGTCAGAACATGGATTGTATTTGGTTGCTGCTTACAAAAGCATCCTGTTAACTTTTCAGAACATGAAATGATGGCGTGGGGGATGAGTTTCCCTTCTCAAAGAAATGTTTGTTATTTGTCTGCTCAAAGAAGCTTCAGCAGCAGCCTTATCCAAATGAGAAAATCATGGATAAAGCCGAATTGGTGTCCTGTGTAAGAATAAAGCACCAGGGGGTTGCATAAATATTATTAGGAACAGGGGGACAAATTGGAGAGATAGTGATTTATGTAAGGTTCGTGATGGTGTGAGACTCCAAACCGTTTTCCCACACATGGAAATGCAGGGATCTGTTTCAAACAAGCCCTGTACGTGTGAATGCCTGATCAAACCCAAGAGGCAGCATGGCCTGATGAAATGTAGGATGCAGATCTTGCTGACCTGTACATCAAACAGCAGATCAAAAAGTCCCACGTTTGGATTTTTTTTCATAAAAAACAAAACAATACCTGTTTTCCATAAAAAAGTATAGGCACTGGGGAAAATGTTTTTGTTTTTAAATTTCAAATTATTTTTGTAATTTCTTTCACTTGTAAAACCTATTCCAATTTAGTTCATTTGGATTTCATTCATTTCTCAGATTTCAGTTCGTATGTTGGAAATTCGTATTGTTCACAGGAAACCTATTTTGTCTTCTCCCGCCCATTGTGTTATACATTTTCCATATAAATGATGTGAAATGTGCAGCTTTTTCGTTATCTCTGGGCATCATGGCTTCAGATTGGCAAGAGGACTGGACAGCTGGTCCCAATTTTAGAGCAAAATAAAACAGGGGTGTTGTAGCTGTTACGTGCCGCCAAGTTGTCTACGACTTCTGGCAACCCTACACATGGATGCCCTCCCAAGTGTCTGTCCTTGACAGCCCTCCTCAGCTCTTGGAAATGCAAAACCATGGTTTGCTTTGTAGAATCTATCCATCTCATAAGTGCCTGTGGTCTCCTCCTCCTCCTCCTCCCCCCCCCCAACACCTTTCCCTAACTCCAACTTCTCCAGTGAGACAATAATACATGGTGATAAGGAATACAATAGTGTGGATTATCAAAATTAGGGGTATTGTCCAATAAACTTTCAGTTATAAACAATGGGGATATGGTGCTGGGAATACAGCTCAGTAGCAAAACATTTAACTACTGCTGAGGACCAACAGACCCTTCACTTCCGAGAGCCAGTGTGGTGCTGCGGGCACAGGACTGGGACTCAGGCCATCTGGGTTCTGGCCCCCACTCGGCCATGGAGTTCACTGGGAGGCTTTTGACCAGTCACAGACTCTCAGTCCAGACTACCCTGTTGCGAGGATAGGACTGAGAGGAGAAGGAGAATGACGTAGGCCACCCTGAGTTCCTTGAAAGAGAAAAGGCAGGATACCAATATAATACATATAAATAAATAATGTGTCTTCTCGCACCTGTGCATTTGCTGTTTGAAATTTGAATTACATGGCCTCTGCTGGCTTCACAGAAGTTTGCAAAGGCTTCATTCTTGCCAGATTTCAAGATCAACCTTAGGGTTTAGAACTGTTGTGACTGAGTATAGGCAGGAGCAAATTAAAACAGTTCTCCAGGTTCCATCCCAAAACTTGTCCCAATGCAAGTCTGTGTTCAGCTGCTGTTCCGCTTGCAGTTTTGCATGAAAATCCTGCATATTTTGTGTGTATCAATTGTATGCATTTCTGTATTGCTTGCATTCTTCTTCTACTGAGTAAAGCATATTTGTGCACATTTTCCCAAAGGTACTCATTTTTCAAATGTACACATGCGATTCCACATACTTTGGCAGTGGGGTCTGCAAATTGCATTGACAGCTCAGAAATAGAGACTTTGACCACAAATTGTGTCTGTCCATCTTTGGTCTGAAAGATTTAACTGCATAAATCCTGATCAAAAACAAACTGAAAATAACTTCTCCCACATCCCTACCAGTGGGGGGTCCTGGCCATAAACGCAGCCCCTGAGGCCTTCTGATTTATGTTGAATGGAGCCTTGGTTTAAAGCTATATTATAAAGCTGTGTCCTCAGGCCCTTTTTAAAAGCTAAGAGAATGTGGACCAGGCATGGTTCTTGAGGAACCATGAGTTTTCCACAATCTGGGAGTAACACAGGCCTTCCAAGACAGGTGGAATCTGGCCCCAGTTGCATGCACCTGTTAGCAGTCTAGCTGCCATATTTCAGATGCTCTTATGGAGTATCCCAGTGTAGACCAAATTACAACCATCTAAATGCAATATGACCAAGGCATGGATACCTGCTGCTGGCAAACCAGTTGGAGTCAGGTGTGACAACAGTGGTTCCAGCCAGGAATCGCACTGTGAATCCCCACCTGTTTACATCTCGTGCCCTTGCAGGTCCTCTGAATCTTGTCAATGGAATGTCTTACAAGATCAACCCTGGATGCCTCCGGCTGAAAATCCAAGTCATATTTCCATTATGGCAACCTGTGTTGGAAATCAGCCAGTGCCTTTTAGTAGCACGTCAGAACCTGCCCCTTGAACTGGGCCACCTTCTGTGTAGGGCTTTCCTGAGATGGGCCTCCCCTGTGGCAGCGAGGGTGGTGAAGAAACCAGACTTCTCTGCCACAGTTGCGGCTGATCAGTGTCACGTGGGAGCTTTTGCAGGCAGCCAGAGATCAGTTATGCGCTCACCCACAAGAAAAGAGGAGGTCCACTCAATCACGTCCAGTCTTCACAAAACTCTGTGGATAAAGCTCAGTGTATCTGTGCTCACCTTAATGCCATATTGTGTTGTAAGCCGCCCCGAGGTTTTGGCAAGGGGCGGCATAGAAATGTAATAATAATAATAATAATAATAATAATAATAATAATAATAATAATAATATTGATACAGTTCAGGGAGGTGTAAGGTTGGCTCCTGCTTGAACAGTCTTAATGGATACTCCTCCATCTGTGTAATTCAAGGATGCGGATAGGATCCCTGGAAAAGTGAGGCCTACCACTTGAGCCCTTGACCTTCCTGGCTTAGAAAGGCAGCTGCGGGGAGGGGACTGCCCGGGTGGGCAAAGGGTGAACACTTCTTCATGGAAAGCTAAAGACGGCAGTGGCACGTCCATCAAGGCAAAAAAAAAAAATCTCACTGATAAGAAGCCACGTTTTCCCCCAGTCCTTTTTAGCATCTCTGTGATATCCACCCCAATTCTTGATCCAGATCCTTCAAAGCATCTACATTCTGCCTCAGACAGGGAGCTCTCAGCGTGACTGTGTCTTTCCCTGCCTTTTGCCCTCTTGCAAATCCAGTCCCAGTTGTACTTTCTCTGCAAGGAACGCAGGCACTGGAGCTTTATCCTGCTCGCGTCTTTTTAGCTGCATCCTCTTCCTTCAGTGAGCCTCTTGCACTTGATCAGTGCCATCATCAAAGTCTCTCTCTCTCTCTGGGTTCTTCTCTCCTTCAGGCCACTAATGCAAAGTGAAAGCAGTGCTGAACCAAAATGCCAATCCGCTTGAATTTTCTGTGTGACATTTTCCTCACACACTGATTTGTATCCATTTATCGTTGCCTGTCAACCTAACTGATGCATTTAAAAAAAAAAAAAAAACCATAGAACTCCTGTGTTACTATCCAACTGCTAATGCGAAAGGAAGTTGCTTTTTCTTACTAGTGCAGAATCCAAATCCTCCTCTTTGTCAGTTCTTACTTCTGTATTCTTGCACAAAGGAATCACGGTTGTCTGGAGTGGCTTCCCTCCTGGAAAGCTGGACACCTGGGCAATCGTAGCATCCTTACCTCCATGCAAGTCTCACCAAAATGCTGAATTCTAGCTATTCATAGAACCATAGAATAGTAGAATCGGAAGGGGCCATGAAGGCCATCGAGTCCAACCCCCTGCTGTGGCAGGACACCGCGTTACACCATCCCACTCAGATGGTTGTCCAGTTTCTTTTTGAATGTCTCTCCACCTCTCTAGGCATCTGATTCCACTGTTGTATTGCTGTGACAGTGAGGAAGCTTTTCCTGATGTCCAGCCTGCATCTGGGTTGTCGCAGCTTGAATTGATTATTCCTTGTCCTACACTCTGGCATCAGCAGGAAGAGATCTTGACCTTCCTCTTTGTGACAGCCTTTGAGGTACTTCTAGAGGGGTATCATGTCCCCCCTCAGTCTTCTCTTCTCAAGGTTGAACATGCTCAGTTCTCTCAGTCTCTCTTCATAGGGCAGTGTTTCCAAACCCTGGATCATTTTTGTTGCCTTCCTCTGGACCCTTTCTAATTTACCTGCATCTTTTTAAAATCTTGGTGCCCAGAACTGGACACAGTATTCCAGGTAAGTTCTGACTAGTGGGAATTATAGAGGAACTACTACTACTCATGATTTGGAAGTAATACTTCTGTTAATGCATCCCAAAATAGCACTTGCCCTTTTGGAGGCTGCATCACATTGTTGGCTCATGTTTAGCCTATCGTCCACAATTACTCCAAGATCTTTTTCTTGCTCAGTACTGCTGAGCCACATATTCCCCATCTTGTATTGATGCATTTGGTTTCTTTTTCCTGGGTGGAGAACTTGGCACTTGTCTCATTCTGTTTATCAAGATCGCCCTGGATCTTCATTCTCTCTTCTAGGATGTTTGCTCTTGCCTATCTCCTGCAAGCCATTTATTCATTCATCTGTAAATCGGCTGTGACGTGGAATGTTCACAAATAGTCTAAGGAAATCAGGATCAGTGCAGTAGAATTTTGGTTAACTGTACATTAGCTTGTCAAATCAGCTGATTGTATTCAATTGAGACGTTAGCTGAGTTTCATCAAGGCGGAACCGGATGCAATATTTTTAAAAGAATAACCTGGGGTCATTCCATGAAGCTGATTGCTGGGAGATTCAGGAAGGACTTCTTCACACGGTGCATGGCTCTACTATGGAATTCACTGACATGGGAAGAAGCAGTAGCCATGAATCTGTGTGGCTCAAATTCATGGTGGAGAAGGCTATCGGTGGCTACTAGCTTTGCTGACTCTGTGCTACCTATGCTATCAGAGACACTACACCCATGCACATCAGTTGCTTGAGAGGTTGGACAGGAGGGAATTCTTGTTCTCATCCTGCTTGAGGGATCCTGTGAGCTGCTGAGTGAATGGAATGCTGGGCCGGATGTGCCATGGGTTTGATCCAGCATGGCCTTCCTTATGTCCTTAAGTGTTGGAGGCTGGTTTAGAAGCCCTGGATCAAGGCACACGTACCTGTCAGTGCCTCACAATATCCAACCAAATGTTTGGCTGTGGATTCCTGGTATTTTTGCACAAAGATCAGCCTTGATCAATGAGAAAGTATGTATCCAAATCAAGTCCCAAATAACCACTGAATTCAGTGACTCCCAATATAACTGACATGGAACCATCACTCCCGCTTTTAGCATGTTTTGCTAGGCTTTTCAGTTGCTAATGAAGGAAATTCTGAAGTGTGTGCAGCTGTCCAGGTATGCAGCTAACTGGAGTGTTTAGATTCTGAAATGCTCACATGTCTCTTTCAAGGGATATTTCTGAGACGAGGATCTCCCAGCTGCCCAACATCGGGCTTGAGAACATTAATAAGCTGATCGCAAAATCTACCTACCAGTTGAAAAAGCTGCCTCCCCTGGACAAGTTCCGCGCCTTAATAGAGGCAAACCTCACCTACCCGAGCCACTGCTGTGCTTTTGCAAACTGGACCAAACAAAAGTGAGTCACTTCCTTTGTTCTGCTTTGAGAATGTGAATGTGTTTGTAAACCTTTCTTGATTTAGGGGGCTCAGCTGGGCCCTGTGCAGTTTCTCCATCATGCATATTTGACCACCTGTAGGGGCGAACTCACAGAAACTAGTGGGCTAGTTTTGAATGCCACCAGCAAAATTCTGGATTTTTGCAACTGACTGAAACAGAGCAGGTTTGGGGCGGAGAAATAAAATGGCTGTTTGCTTTGAGGAGCAGATGTGGCTTTAAGACCATCACAGTCTCTCTGTACATACACCTGCTCACTTCTCCCATGTGCAGTATAGATGTAAATGAACAGATATCACCACAACACACATACTGGTACTTTCCTCACAGAAGAAAACAGTGCCCCCACAAAAACTGCTTCTAGGATTGTGTCTCCTCAGTCAGTGGAGAAAGTAAAACAGGGTTAGACATTTGGGCACCTTGCAGGCAGGGGAGGAATGGGCACAATGAATGGATACCCACTGCATACACTTATGTCCATGATTTTTAGAAAGGTTCATTAGCACGACCCCTGCGGAGCCTCACTGGAGCTAATTACAGGGCCCTTTCAGCCTCTTAAATCAGTCTTCCTTACAACTGATTTGCCACCACTGGGCCTTCAAGCATCAAGGGTCCTTCTCATACCCTTCGTCTTTTCAAGCATTCTTTGAGATTTGCACATTGATTGATTTAATTAACCCCTAAAATCCAGTGGTTTTCTGCTTTACAGTTGAATGTTTCACAGCAGAGGTAGGCTGGCTTCATTCTGGGATAATCTATTTTTGTGTGAAAGAGAACCTACACACACACACGCACACGTCTCTCTCAGCAGTGAAGACATAAGCAATCTGCTTTAAGGGAGCTTGAGTTTGCTTAAGAAGTGCTTTTGCTCCTGCCAGATAGTAGGTAGCCCACCAGACATTGGTCCAGGACCCCCCTATACTGGGGGGCAACAGAAATATCCTTGAACCCTTTGGGTTTGTTTCTGGCCTTCCATGTGAGGAGCTGACACACATTACACAAATGGGCATGGGTGCAATGCATAGATATGTGCGAGAATTGTTGTTGCTGTTGGGGGCCATCAAGTTGCCCTAACTTATGGTGACCCTGTGGATGGAAGCCCTCCAAAATTCCTTATCCCAAGACAGCCCTGCTCAGCTCTTGTAATATAAGATATTTGGGAGGGAGACATTAATCCAGGATTGGGTAGCATGTAGACCTCCAGATCTTCTGGGCTACATTTCCTATCAGCCCTTGTCAATAAAGCTAATAGCAAGAGACGGTGGAAGTTGTATGCCAAGACATGCGGGGGCCGCAAGAGGCCTATCCCTGTTTTAAATCTATCGTTAGCAAGAGTTCCCGTCACCACCCCTTCTTGATTCAGTCCTGCATTTTCTGCTCACTCAGTGGTTTCCCCATTCCCTACCAGTCAAAGCCAGTTATCCCAGCTGGGATCAGGAGCCACTAATTCCATAACTGCAGATTGAACACTGAATTAGACAGGCCTCTGGTCTGTTCCAACACAGCTCTTCTTAGGTCTTACCAAGCCATGTGGTGTTTCAACAATTATTGCAGAGATGCAGGGCAGCAGTCGCCACAGATCCACCTGTATTGTCCCACTTAAGCCTTGGTGGCCATTCTTGGTGGCCTTCTCCAACCTGGTGCTCCACAAATGTTCTGGACTTCAGCTTTGGCCAGATTGGTCAAGAATGGTGGGAGCTGTCATTTAGTTATCATATTTCTGCCCTGCCTTGTTTCCTTCAAGGAACTCAAGAGAGCTTACATAATCTTGATCTTCTCACAGCAGTCCTGTGAAGTAGGCTAGTCAGTTACTTGCCCAAAGTCACCACTGAGCTGTGTGACTGAGTGGGGAGCAGAAGTCCCTTGGGTCCCTGGCCAGCACTCTGACCAGGACTCCCTTAGCAGGGTAAGTTCAAAATAGGTAAAGGACACCAGGCTGGAGAAGGCATCTTAGACCACGAGGAGGCTGTTTTAGGGTTGGCTGAGCACCTTCATGGATCAACCTGATCTGTATCTTGAGACTGATGTGTAAACCTGATTGCAATTCTCCTTCAGATTCAACACATCATTGATTTCATGATAACAGTTCAAAATCTCCAAATCAAAAAGCTAAAATATGCTTTGAGATGTGCATTTTCTAAGAAACAATATTTTAAAATGTGCGTTTAAATATATATTTTTTCAGATTTTGTAAAGACCCCAGAATAATGCAGGGGTGGGATGGGATGGGGTGGGATAGACAAATAGACATGTGTCAGTTCACAGGAATGGGAAATAGAGCTGTTTCCCCCTAAAATGTTCACCCCCATAAATATGCATCACAAAAGCACAAGATTACTTCAGATGTTGGGCAGTAGAGAAAATAATAAGTAAAGTCCATTTTTACATGGAAACAGATATTACAATTTTTCTCCTGCTATGAAAATATTGCTACAACCCAGGGAGATTTTCTCTGATAAAGAAGAAGGCCAGTGGTGGGGAAACACTGGGGGGGGGAGGTCCCAGTTTCTGTGCCCCCTGAAAAAATGCCATGCATCAGCCAAGGCTACCTCAGGACGAAACCTTCCCCTGGAAACTCCATGGTCTTGCATAGATCCAATCAAGGCCTTTCCAACCGTGCATCTTCCTTCTTTACTCCCATGTAATCTTTCCTTGAGGTATCTCCCCTGACAGCTATTAATGTATTATTATTTATATCCTATCCTAGGGTTGAGCAGAGTGTAAAAACACGAAATCAAGAAGTCAGATGCTGTTGCTGCCACTAGCTAGAAACACCTCAGTGCAGTTACTCTGTTTCTGTTAGATTCCGAGACGGTCTCGGACACCTCGCAATGGACAGAATTTGCTTCATAATCTTTGTGGAGATAAATGAGGAAAATATACAGGAGGGAGCAGAAGAGAAAGGAAAGAGGTTGCGGGAAGTCTCTTTCAGCTGCTGCCCTCTGCAGGCTTTGCCCTTATCCATGCAAAAGATCTGTGTCAAGTAACATTTTCTTCCTTGGCTTCAGCAAAAGGGATACCTGCTCACACGGACAGACTCCCATGCCAAGAACAGTTGGTGCTGAGAACATACCTTTTTCTCAGGCTAAGAAGAAAAATGATATTTGACACAGAGAGGCTTTTGCATGGGCGGTGGCCACCGGGTGATGGTAGTTATCTGATTGGCATCAAAATGCAATATCCTTATCCCAGCCTTGGGTTCAGTCATCCAAAAGGTAGCTTTGTTCTTTCACTTCGAGGTTTTGATGAAACAAATCAAAGTATGAAAGGTGATCATCTTTTCCTTGGCTCACATTCAACCAGAGACTCTGCTCAGGTTTTGGGTTCAGAACATGGTTTGCTTTCCCCCAGAAGGGTTGGCGGGGTTGCTGTGCCTCTCTGGAAAGATATAGTCAAGAAAAACCTTCATTTTCTTCACCAGCCAGTTTAAAACAGTGACTTATTGTTATTTTTAGAAACTTAATACTACAAAATGACATAGAAGAATATAAAACACAATCAAACAACAGTGAGTAGCATAAAGAGAATGAACAGAGCCATAGTTTTTTCCTTTTGTGGTTTTTTGGTGGTTTTTGTTGTTGTTTGTTTGTTTGTTTTTGTTCCCAGCTCCCACCATACTAGAATTTGTGGTCCAAACAACACAAGAAGAGCCATGTCGGGTCAGAGAAGGTCCATCTAGTCCAGACAAGGTCCATCTGTTCCCACAACAGGCTAGCAGGAGATGGGTGCAATGCCATCCTGTGCCCACATTCCCCAGGAAGCAGTGTGTACAGATAGACTGCCGCTGGTCCTGGAAGGAGCAAATAGCCTTCAGAGCCAGCAGACATGGGTAGCTTCCTCCCCTGGGATGTTTTAAAAATGATGACAATCAATGGACCACAAAATACATAAAGCATCCAGCACACCAGGATCAAAATATAAAATAAATGCAATCCTGCAACCTTCCAGTAGATCCCTAAATGTGATCCTGGCAGTTTCAAATGGAGAGTCGTGGTGCTGTGAGTGGTTCTCTTGCTCTCGTCACGGATGCCTCCAGCAAGCTGTCCAAACCCATCCAAATTGGTGGCCCTCACAGTGAGTTGCATAACTTACGCACTGAAGGAAGAAGTGCTTCCTTCTCTCTGTCCAGCAGCTCCCACCAGTCAGCATACTGGGATGGCCCTGTTGGTTCTAGAATTATGAGGGAGGGAGGGAAATGTCTCCCCGTCCAGTTTCTCCCTGCCATGCCTACTTTTGGCCATCTCTCCTTGTGTCACCCCTAATGTCCCTCTTTTCTAAGCTAAATAATCCCAGATGTTATTAACCTTTCATGAGTTTCACTAACCCCTCAACCATTTTAGTTGCTCCTTTTTGTATTGTTTCCAATTCTATAATAGCCCTTTTTTCGATGCAGTGACCCGAACTGTACACAGTGTTCTAAGCACTGTGACACCATAGATTTGAATACAGATAGGATGGGCTTGGCTGTTTTTGGTTCAGTTCCTTTTCTAATTATAGCTAGCCTGGAATCTCACAGCAGCCACACAATGAGTTGGCACAGTCATCAAGCTGTCCACCACAACCCCAAGAACCTCTCTTGCTCAGTCGCTGCTGCCTCAGATCCCTTCAGCTGACACCTGAAGTGGGGATTTTCTGCCCAAGGAGCACGGCTTTACACTTGCTTGCGTGAATTACACTGGCCATTTTGATGCCCGTTCTCCCAGTTTAGGGAATTCCTTCAGGAACTTTCCACAGGCACAGAACAGTGTCAAGTTCCACTTTCAGAACCTTTCTAAGAGGCCAAAGAGCCATGTTGGAAATGAGGTCAGATTCTCCCCAGATGCCCACATGGGGTGGATGAGATAAGGGGGGCCCATTACAAGGGGTAGAGCACCACCCCTCATGTCACTGGGTCTTGTCCAAAGTGCATGCTGGACCTTCTCCATCTGGCACCTTGGTCAAGGAGTTTTGTCCCTCCACCGAAGTCTTCCATGGCTGGGCCACCCAGGCTACCTCTGTGGGGGATACAGGGGAGAAATAAACTGGTTTCAGCTGGTCCCTCAAAGCAGCATCTGCATGTGTGGCTGCCTTGGTGTCTTCTTCACCTTCCCCGCATGAGGAAGATGGAGGAGGGAAGAGACAGAGAAGAATCCGGAAGGGGCTGGCCAGTTGGAGTCCCTGTGGCACATTCCTAGCCAGTCCTCAGGGTCAGGATCATAACATTGTCAACATAACTATCTCCAAAAATGCTTTCCACCCACAAAAAACTAGCCAATTGAGCCCGACCTATGCAAAACAGAGGATCCAGTCTGGGGGGTCATTTCTTCTCAGCCTAATTTCTGTTTCCTTTGCCAAAGCATTCTTGCTGGTGTGGTCCCACACGCAGCACTGTTTGATTCCAAACAGTCCTTATTTTGTTGCAGTACAATTTCAGCCAGCTTCGATGACAGCCTGATCAAGGATTCCACATGGAAAGTGGCAAAGTTTTTTTTAATCTCCAGAGGGCTTCTCATGTTCCTTAGCCTTGTCGCCTATTATTCCATAACACCCCTCAGGAAATTTCAGGTGCAGATAGAAAGATGAGCACTTTCAGGCAAGTGACCTGCATGCAGCTTGAAATTCTTTGAAGTGACCTCAAGGAACATCTGGAAATTTAGAACTGAGATCTGTTCATCTTGTTCTAAATCCTCTCTTCCCTCCCTCCCTGGAAAGTTGCTAGTCTGAGGGTGTTTGGGCTTTCCAAGTGATCAGTTAAGGTTTACACGAATGGCTCTAGCAAGATGAAAGCCAAATACAGTGCAAGGTTAGCTTCTCTCCAAGCTACTAAAAACAGTTTAAACAAAACCTGGGTGGAAATAAGCTTCCCTAATCCTAAAGTGACGTATGTAGCTCCAGTCTTAGGTCCCTTTAAACATAACTTGCAATATGACTGTCGCTCTTCTAGTCCACCAAACAGAAAAAGCTATAAAACCAAAGCCAGAATAATGAAAGTAACAGGATGATAAAAAATAAAAAAGAATAGAACAAACACAGGGAGGGATGATGCATGATTATTTGCAGCTAAGTATGAGTGGGAAGCCAACTCACTGCAGAAACGGCCACAATTGGATTTGTGTCCCCCATCCATGTCCCCTTCAGCTGCTTTTAACTTTAAACAGCTTCAGAGCAAGGGCAGCCAATATGGCACCCTCCAGATGTTTTAGATCACAAATCCCATCAGCTCCAGCCAGCACCTTGCCTACCCCTGCACTAGAATGATGGCAAACATGTGCTTATTGTACAGCACTGAGTAAGGGACCCTGTGCCTTTACCGCCACCTGCTGGCAGTTCCTAGTAGGAGTCCCAGCTTAGCAAGACTTAACTCTGCGCAAGCATGTGTAGAACCAGCTTGGAAAGGACAGATAGGAAAAAGTCTGAAGGCCCAGAAGACAGGGACTGATGTAAGATCCCATTTGTATAAGGTATTCCTTTAAATATTGGGACAGCATCTGGAGGCCTTCATCTTCAGAGACCTCCAGATAAACATTTGGGAGCCTCTGTCAACGGTTTTCCCTGTTTTTATTGAATCCACATCATAGCTCTTCTAGCAAGTCTGAGGACACATGCTGCCAGGCAGCTCTGTAATCCAGTCACCTGCTCTGTACAATCATTGCAGTTAAGCCAAGCCAGCAGGCCATGGGTTAGTTGAGGGTTGTTCAGCCTTCAGACAAGCCAGGCTGCCTGGATTTGGAAGACAAAGCAAGCCATGCCCAGGCTGAAAACCAGGAAAAGGGCACCCGGTACACACAGTGGCTTAAAGAAGAGGCCACTGACTTGTTTAGCCATGGCAATTCTACAAACAAGACCACTATAAAAAAGACTGTGTTTAATTCTGCATCTAGAAACAATAATGCAATGAAACAGCTGTGCACAGTCAGGAATAATAACAACAGTTAACCAAAGCATCTCTAAATGGAAAGACCTCTGGCCTTGCTAGCTGGGGATTGTTGGAGTTGCAATCCATCGTGGACTGGGGGGGCCCAGGAAGGGAGAATCTAGTTAAAAGTGTGGGCCAATAACAGTGTGAGAAGCTCTTGTTTTATCTGCCCTGGTCATGAGTGGCTGATTACCTTTTGTCCTCTCCCCTATGGTGGACAGGCTACATGTTAAAGTTCTAACATTGCCAGCCTGCTATTTTGCCCTGTCTGATGGAAAGATCTTCTTTGCATCTTCAGCAATCGTGTCACTGTGACTTGGCTGCATGTGTCCGAGCCCTTTTGCCCTTTGGAGGGCTGTCAGTAAGGAAGCACCTTCTGTAAATAATGAGGCACCATCAGCAGGCCTCCATCTTGGGAGAGATCAGCATTTGGGGGCCTCCATCCATGGCTTTTCCTATGTTGATTTAATTCCAGTCATAGTCCATCTAGCAAGCCTCAGCACAAGCACCCCCAAGGCAGCCTGTAACCTGATGCGAAGAAGACCACCAACAAGAAGTCAAAAAGCCAATTAAAGCTGGAAAAACTTAGATAACACTTAGCAGCAGTCCCATCTAACCAGAAAGTCCTAAGGCAGTCTAGAAAAACGGTCTATTGCCCCTTTGAAATAAGGAGCTCCACATGGGAGGTGCAATTGCTATTCTTAGCAGCCCAGCCTTAGAGTCTGCAGAAGAGTGGAAAGCCACGTGCTTTTCTTCAACTGTCATTGAGGCCAGCAGATTAAGATTTTAAGGTGTCATCCAGCCTGTGCTTAGAAAAGAGAGGGACTACAAATCCCAGCATTCCTGAAACAGCCAGGCCCAGAATCGGAATTCTTGAATTCTGTTTGGAAACATAGCTGGAAACCAGTGGAGTTTGCTGAGAATAGAACCAGCACTCGGTTGGTCACTGCAGTATGGAGCAGCTGAAGTTTCAAGACCTAATTGTCCTCAAGGAAGAGTGAAATAGAATAATGCCATTGCTGAAGCTATATATGTATATATGTAAGCATTGCCCACCGTAAGCATGCATTCTTTGCACAGGCATTTATTTTAAAACGTTTTATACCACTTTCATCAGTTCAGATTTCAGGAAAATATACAGCAAGACCAAAAGCACAAAAAAGTTGCAGCTAAGGCTTGAAAACAGGTTTGCTCAGTTTAAACCCATGCAAACTCAGAAAATGTCCAGATCAATAAAAATGTTTTTGCCTGGCACCTAAATGAGATTAGGTCCAGCAGACTCCCTGGTACCAAGCATCCTTCTTTGGGGTAGAAGATCCCTTAACAGAATCCTGGTCCCGTCTTCATAGATGGGCTTCATTCTTCTAGTAGGGAATGTATATGGAGCAGAGCCTCAGCATAACAAGAAAGGGGTGGCTCCTTCAGGGATTTGAATTGCATGCTGTCTAGAGCAGGGACAGGAAACCAGTGGCCTTCCAGGATTGCTGGACTACAATTCCCATTATCCCCAACCAGCACAGCCAATAGTCAGGGATGATATGAGTGGCAGTACAACATCTGCAGTTTCCCCGGCCCTAGTTTTAATGGTAAGTACCAAGGGTGATTGTGAGATAGAACTTATATAAAAAGAATCACAAGGGTTGTGTGTAGAATGTGATTTACATAAGGTTGTATTTCTACATTTCCATAATGTAGAAATACAGTCTTTCTGTTATGCTATAAACCTGCCACATTTCCTAGGCTCTAACCATACTATGTTTCACCTATTCCAGTTCTATCTTGCACCCCATCTGCAATAAGTCGGTTATCAGGCAAGAATTTGATGGGATGGATTTTGACCTGGAGGAAGATGATTACTATCACACCTTGTGTAAAGAAGAGGTGCAAGTCACTTGCTTCCCTGAGCCCGATGCCTTCAACCCATGCGAAGATATCATGGGCTACAATGTTCTCCGAGTTCTCATATGGTTCATCAACATTCTAGCCATCATGGGGAATCTTGTTGTGCTCATCATTTTGGTCAGCAGCCAGTACAAGTTCACCGTTCCCCGATTCCTAATGTGCAATCTTGCATTTGCAGATCTGTGCACAGGCATCTATTTATTGCTGATTGCAATCAAAGACATACAGACCAAAAGTCAGTATTACAACTATGCCATCGACTGGCAGACCGGTGCTGGCTGCAACACGGCAGGCTTTTTCACAGTCTTTGCCAGTGAGCTTTCTATATACACCCTGACTGTCATCACGTTGGAGCGATGGCACACCATCACCTACGCCATGGAACTGGACCGCAAAATCCGCTTCCGACACGCGATGGTCATCATGCTTGTGGGATGGGTCTTTTCCTTCACTGTGGCCCTCCTTCCCATTTTTGAAGTCAGCAGCTACATGAAAGTTAGCATCTGCCTGCCCATGGATATAGAAACTCCCCTTGCCCAAGCATATATCATGTTTCTGTTGGTACTGAATATCCTGGCCTTTGTCATCATCTGCACGTGCTACATCAGCATCTACTTCACTGTGAGGAACCCCAACGTCTTCTCATCCAACAGCGACACCAAAATTGCCAAACGTATGGCCATACTGATCTTCACCGATTTCCTCTGCATGGCTCCCATCTCCTTTTTTGCCATATCAGCATCACTCAAGGTCCCGCTCATCACCGTGTCCAACTCAAAGATCCTCCTTGTTTTGTTCTACCCCATCAACTCATGTGCGAACCCATTCCTGTATGCCATCTTCACCAAGACTTTCCGCAGGGATTTCTTCATTTTGCTGAGCAAGTTTGGCTGTTGTGAAATGCATGCCCAGATTTACAGAACTGAGACCTCCTCCTCTGTTCATACTTCCCATATGAAGAATGGACACTATACATCAGCTGCTAAACCCAGTGATGGAACGATTTATTCATTAGTCCCTCTGAATCATGTTAACTAAAAGTGATATCCATAGGTTTATGCCAAGGATTATCAAAGAGTGATTCATGCTTCCCCAAAGGAGATGGGGCAATTACAAAATAATGCAGAACTTCTCCAGGATTTCATCAAACCACTACATGTCCAGATGTGCCAACAATCCCAAAATTAAGTGTTCTTCGCTTCAGTTAATTAAGCATGCTGATCTTTGTGTTGGATTGTGGCCTGAGTGTCTTGATTTACCCAAATGCTAAAATACGTTGGGATGGAACCAGACCCAATCATACGTGGAGAAGGCCCACTGAAATCCCATTGATTTCAATGAGTCTATATATGGTTAAATGTGGCTTCGACCCATTGCATGTCCCAATACATGGATGTCACAAATACAAAACAGCTCCAGACTGTACTGATTTTCAGTGTTAGAGAATATTCTGTTTTTGTTTCCATGGTGTCTAGCCCCACAAACTGCAAGCTGAGGAAAATTTCATTGCAGTTTGCATTTTCATGCAAACATACCAACTTTTGCACTTCCAGACCAATATGTGAAATGAAATAAAGCTATCCTTTGAAATTTGCACTTCTTTCATTTTGCAGTGGAGTTTTCCAAACAAACATGTACAGTGGTGTGTATGTTAGAGAAACATGCACATAGCTATACATATATTAGTGAAAATGCCGTTTTAAAAGAATGTTGTTAGAAAAAAATGCTTTCAGAAAATGAGTAATCTGGGCAAAACCAAATTAAAAAGGCATGCGTTGGAGAAGAAATGTGCAGAAAAGTGTGTACAACTATTCATGGGATCTTCAAAAAAGAAACTCAACATTCAGGACAAACTGAACTTAAGACTGGAAAACTTCTCAAAATTTGGGACAAAGCCAAACTTGGGACTGCTAAGCCGAGAAGCTGGGGGAAAACTGGAATTCACAAATTTTTCCATTCCTACTGCAGGCTTCTTTAGTGAATATGTATGAAACTGCTTTAGGGCTACCACAGGTATTTCTTGCCCGGTATCCTCTGCTAATGTCTCCACTAGTAATGTCTATTACAACTGGAAGTAGAAACATGGAAACAGAGCGAGTCAGAAGGGGCCTCCCGGGCCATCTAGTCTGACCCCCAGCTCCAGCCGGCTCCGCTCACGACATGCCCACCATGTTGCTCTCCAAAATCCCCAATGACTGTCTTTCCCAGACTGTTTTCTCCTGCTACCTGAAATCTCTTATTTGTGTGTGTGGGTGCGACTTAAAGGAAGAAGGGGCTGAGAAGCATGAGGGGAGTCAAACAAATCTGCAGTGGATTCAAATGAGTCCTGATTTCTATCCTCTTGGACATGAGGATTGAGCTTTGCTTTAGGTTTTGATCGATTATTTTCAACTTTCTGGAATTGTATGTATATTTAGTCATAAGAAACTATGAAAAATAAACATTGCCACCCAAAATGTGCATTTACCCCAAAAGCTAAGGTGTGGAAATGGATATTTGAGGGAGAATTTCAGATTTTGGGGGGATTTGCATATTCGGGGGGTTGCAAAGTGTGAATGGATGCAAACTCAGGATTTAAAAAAAAAAAAAAATCCATCAATAAACAGACCATGGAATGAAATGTGCCAGACATTGGCAGAACACAAAAAGAGTGGATTTAACAAAATCCATACATTTCAGGTCTGCATATAACTCTGTGCTCTTAATGAAGGCATAACGGCATCTCTACATATTTGCCTTGGCCATCATTGTGAGGCATTGCAGATGGCCAATACCTTGCAGTACAAATTCCTTACTCCAGGCATGACTGAGATTTCTGCTTCCCCCACTTTCTTTTCCCCCCACCTGCTGCTCCTTATCTGTCAAAACAAGTACAAAAGCAATCAGTCCCATGCAAGCTGTCCAGTCTATAATGCAGGGTGGGGATCCCCCAACTCATGGACCAAATGCAGACTTCCACATCTCACTCCAGCCCTGTGTACTCGGCCATGCAGGGCCTTCTCACATGCTCCAGGTTCTTCATTTTAATTACTATAACTGCAGCCACAAAGCTGGTGGAGGAAGCCTTGCATAATTTGGAGAAGCAGGATGGTTGAGCTGAAGCATCTTTTTTTTTTGCGTACCAAACTAAGCTAAAAGTCACATTTGTAATCCTGCCCACTTTGAGCTCTGGCCAAACCTCAAGAGAGAAAAGATTCTCCCCCTGGTATCATGTCTTGGATTTGTTTGGGGAGATTGAGGGTTATACCTTGCTAGATGGAATATGGAACATCTCTGATCGGATCTCTTCCGTTTTTTTTAAAGCTGAATGCAGGCATCGAGAGAAACTGGACTGAGGTGTTGGGGTACTATTTCTCCCTATGCTGTTTTCTTGATTTAAATGTTCTTTAGGCATTGTTTGCCCATTGGAAAAACAAACTGGTAGCATATAGGTACCTATGGGACAAATAGCAGCATTGGTTGCAGGGAGAAGGATTCAGATTCCAAAAACGGTGTAGGAATTTAGCATTACATTCTTCTCCCTGACACTAACAGCCTAAAGCAAAGGCCTGATAAGACAGGTGCTTTTAACTTTAAAGAAAGGAAGTGGGAAATCCTGGTGGCAGATCTCCCATGTCTAATCTGCTTACACGCCTCCTTGTTCTCTTCAGTTGTGAGAATCAAGAAAACAAAGTCCACAAACCACTGATTTAACCTGATGGGCACAAAGACTTTTATTCAATTGTGAATTTATGAATCCATTTTAGTGGATGCATATTCTTAATTTTCTGCTGTAGGTTTTTATTTTCATACATTTATTTTCCAGCATTAATGTCATGCCAAAGAAAAACTTAGTTATGGAATGGCCCGAACACAAGATTTGGTTTTTGCTTTCTGAAACAGAAAAGGGAAATTGGGTTCCTTAAGTTTTTCTAAACCTCAGTTTTTCATTGTGAAGGAGATTATGAAATACTTATGAAAAGTGAATAAGTCTTGACCCCACAAAAGTCATGAAAGTCACAATTCAACACCACACTAAAGTGTGAATAGATCAAGGCCAGCGTAGAACAGGATTAGACCAGCAGTAGCTCTCTAGGAGTTTTGGCCTACAATGCCTATCATCCCTCAACATTGGCTATGCTGGTTAGGGCTCATGGGAGTCATGGGCTGAGATTTCAGAAGAGCTGCTTGAAGCCCAGCCCTGGTGTGAGGTGTTGCACACATCAGCAACAAGATCCTAGTGGAAATTCAAGACTAGCCAGGGTTGGCCCAAGACAACCTGCGGCCTGAAGCAAAGGATAAAATGGAAAGTCCTTATTCCACATACAGATGTTGCACGAAGTGGAAGCTGGATTTTGCTTCAATTCTGGTAAAGTGAGATGAGCTTTAAGTGCACCTGTGGACAGCAGGTGAGTTGGCATGAGACAGCTTGCATGCCACATACAGCTGCTTCCCAATGCATCAGCACTCCACCACACCCCCCAGCATCTGCTGCATAATGGTAAGACTGGTCCTGGGAATATCCAGGTAAGTAAAAGCACTTCCAGTGATGCTGGAGGGGTTCTCATGCATAACAAGCTGGGCATTCTGGTACAGTTTATTTTGAAACTCTCTTCATCCAAAACTCCCTCCGTGCTGCAATTCCATATTCCTTGCCTTGTTTTCAAAGTAAAAGCAGTGTCTTAGCAAATCTTTTTCTGTTTTTAATAACTAAGAGTAAACTTTCTCAGAAGACAGTTTGCTGATAAAATGTATGAGGGATTTTTTTAATACCTCAATGCCTCTAAAAATACGGTTATTTTTGCAGCATATTTTCCTAACTATTTCCCACAGCATTTTTTTAGCTCTGAGTGCCATCATTTTCTTGTCACACAGGGCTAGAGTTATGGTAGGTCTTGGTTGTTGTAGAAGAAGATGACATTGTGGCTCCTACTGCCAAAAGCAGAGGCAGCAGGGGGGGAAACGTAGGGAAATAGGCAGCCAAGCTCCTGCCTCTTTTAACAGGGAGTTCCTCTCCCCAGAAATAGTTAGAGAATTAATTTGAGAAACTCAGCTTGTTAAACTTGAATTTGGTAGGAATAGAAAGCATGCTCCAGAGCAAATACACAGTATAATAAGGGAACAGAAATTAAGAGATCCACTCACCACAACTCAGGAGTACTTAATTCCCATATATCTCTTGCTCACAAGCATGAATACACTCATGAGCAGGGGTGAAGGCCTTGATCCAGACCTGGTCACCATGGCTCCTTTATGCATTCAAGTCACTGCAGAGCAACCACGGACTTTTGAACAGGCAGATGCAGTGCACTGTTCTTGGAATGGGGTGCAAGCGAACCAGTGCCACAAACACCCAATGGCCTGTTGCATGATTGAGGCTGGGGGAATGAGGCACAGTGGCTTACTTCCCCCACCAGCTCTGCCGGTTGCATAACCGAGGGACCTGCGGATTTCCCCGAGGCAGCACGGCTTGTTGGGCTGTGCAAATTCAGCCAGGTTGGCGTGTTTCATTGGTTAACAAACCACCCCAGAACCTTACAACAGCCTATGGGCTAATGACCTTGCATGTGCCAATCGGTTGTTGAGGAAAGGTATAACATCCCCCTTGGCAACCTCACAGCCTCTCCCCCACCCACACCCCACCCCAGGGCAAAACATTTCGACACAGTGGACTGTCGAGGTGTTTGCCAGGGTGGCAAAAGGGCACCTTCATCTTCCTCCTTCCTTCCTTCCATAAAATGTCCATAACCCTCCAAGTCCAGAGAGCCATGGGCAGCCTTACGGGATTCTACTGCCCGTCATCAATCATAATTTCATATTATTTGAGAGAAAGAGATTAGGGGTGTCCAACCTTTTGGCTTCTCTGGGACACACTGGAAGAAGAAAAATTGTCTTGGGCCACACTTTAAATGCACAAATACTAACAAAAGCTGATAAGCAAAAAAAAGGTCTGTGCATAATTTTCGTGATATCTGCACCACCATGCGTGCAAATAGCAGGAGCATATGTACATTTATTTCACGTGATGTTGTGACACAACATTGTCGTCTACGAGATTCACACTGAAGAAATGAGCAATCAAGTTACAATAAAAAAATCTCAATGTTTTAAGTAAGTTTACGATTGTATGTTGGGCTGCATTCATAGCCATCCTGGGCTGCCTGTGGCCCGCGTGGGCCGTGGGTTGGACACCCCTGATTTATATGAATGATTTTAAAGAGACTTAAGTGTACATAAAGATCTTTGTTTAAGCATTTTGGAATCAATTCGCTGGTGTGACTCACAAGTGGCTCTTCTGCACAAATGATGGCTAGCACCCACATGGTGGGTTGCA